CCCAAGCTTTATGTCCGTCTATAATGTGGCGAAGACATATAACACTGTGGATCCCCTGGGTAAATATCAAATCGAGATGCCCGAATTTGACAAGGTTGTGGAGAATTACCACTTCGATCCAGGTACTGTTTTGTTTTTTTGTTCTTTTTTGTTTTTGTTTTTTTTTTTATTTTTTTTTTCTTCTTTTTTGTTTTTTTTATGGCACCACCTCACCATTGATCGGTCATCTTATGGCCAATTTTTCCCACCTATAATGTCCACTCATGAATGACCCCTCCTTACCACCCTTGCAGAGGTGAAAGAGGCCGTCTCGAAGCTCATGTCGTCCCAAGAGAAGTACGAAACCGATTCAGTGCATTTTTGCGTGTGCAAATTGGCGCGTGAAAATGTAGATGTCCACGGCAATTTACAGTTGCTGAGTGGATAAGAGAAGAAGATTCTTCTTCTTACCTCCCTTCTGTGAACATTTTTAACGCGCCCCTTTTTCTTCCCCCTCCCTATCTCAGTTACTACGCCAACATTAGCGAAACCGCCACACTGAGTGTCGATAAAATTATCGAAATTCACCACTTCATGTTAAATGAACTGTATAAGATCGATCCAGAATTTAAGAAGATCCCGAATAAGCACGAGCTGGATCCCAAGCTAATAGCACTAGGTATGACTTAAACGTGTGTCTACAGATATGTGCGTGTGTGGAGAGATATGGCCGCATTTGTAGAAATATGGCCCTGTTTGTGGATAATGAGCTGGGGCGCGTTCCCGTCCGTGTAAGGGCTGACCACCACAGTTGCACCTCGCATTAACGTGCTTCCCTCTCCCCATGGTAACTTTTCCCATTTTCGACATCACAAAAATTATTATGCCCTCCCCTTTGCAGTTATACAATCCATAGTGAGCGCAAAAGTCGAAGAAGAATTCAACTTGACTTCGGAAGACGTAGAGGCCTCCATTGCCAACCAGCAATACGCCCTGACTTCGGTGAGGAGGACAACTCCATGTGTTGTCACCCATTCGCCTCTATATGCAAATGTTTACATACGCGTTTGATCTTCCCCTAACGCTGTTGCACAGGTGTAATCATTTTTTTTCTCTCTCTCTCCCCCGTTGCAGAACATGGAATTCGCCCGAGTGAACATTCAAATGCAGACAATTATGAATAAATTCATGGGGTAAGGACGACCACCAAACTTTGTTAAAACGGATTAACACATCCGGCTAAGTTTGCCTCATCGTGTGGAGTATCTTCTACTGTGTCTTCCCGGTGCATATGATGGAAACATTTGGCCGCTTCCCTCATCGCTGCGTTTCGTTTTACTAAATTGTTTTCCCCCACCTTTTTTTTTTCTTTCCCTACAGTGACCATTTCAAATTTATGTGCGACAAGGAGGGAGTCTACTAGGCGAAGACGGAGTGGAGCGCCTCACTTCACCATGCCACCAGCCCACCAAAGTTTAAAATTTAGTTTTCAAGATGCGCCTTGTACACATACCCATATCATGCTTTGCAAAAAAAACAAAAATAAATATAATAATTCAAGCAACGATTATTTCTACATTTCTTTGCTTTTATTTTTTCGCACATGTTATTTCCACGTATTGCTCCATTGTTATCATGTATATGGATAACATTGCCACGTGGTACCCTTTTATTATGCCTTTTTTTTTTTTTTTATTTTGGTCTTTTTTTTTTTTTTTCCTTTTTTTTCCTGCCCCTTTCCCCCCTTTTTTTTAAAATGAGAAGGTTCTCCATCGCATTCATTTTTACAGAAAGAAAAATATACTTCCACATTTTATATGTTATTAATTTAATGTATAAATACGTGCCCATATCTCTGTGTCCGTATATATGCGCACAGTGTACATGCACGTGGGTGGGCGCTTGTGTGTTGTTACCTTTTAAATGTTTTATGCTTTCACTATTGTTTGTTTCTTTACCATCTGTCTCTGCTCCTGCGCCTTGTTCTCTCACATCCCCCTTTTTGAATTTCCCCCCCACAGTGTTCATTTAATGTGCCTGTGCACACGTACGTGCATGTGCCAGGTTTAGGCCCCAATGTAAAAGCAACCTGATGTTGCGTGTGTCCCATACTCCCCTGCTCGAGTTTCGGCACGCATAATGCATCACGCGGTTTTAATCTCACGTTATGCTATTTACACTCCTCTTAGACGTCTTTTCTTTTCTCCAAATTAACAGCAAAACCATTTAGCAGAAGGCAAAATTGCAGCATTCTGAACATTTTGTTATCTTTTAATCTATTGTTCATCCCCTAAATCGAAATCGCTCGATCCATTTGAAGGGGCCAAATAAATAAATCGGATCACATCAACAATGGAGTATCCCCCTGCGTCCAAAGATGTTTCTTCCTAAAGCCACATTGAACAGATCGTTCCACGCACCAGTTTTGAACTACCCTCCATTATGGTTCCATAAAAAATACCTCTACCTACACGCACCCGCGAATAGTCCAAACGGACAGTCACTTACGAACTGAGCAATTAATAACACCATGTCTGTGAACCTTAAAACTGTTCTGAGGGAAATACTTCAATCGTGAGATACACAAAATGGTTGACCATTCTACAGGTTTTTCTTTTTTCCCACCCTAGTTATTCCTTATAAAAATCCTTTAAGCGGTTTTCCTGTCTGCATTTCCACCATCACAGGGGGTGGCGAAGTGTAAAGCCACACACTCAAAGTTGCACACAAGTGAGAAAAAAAAAAAAAAAAAATATGAACAGTTCATACAAAAAGGGCTATCATCATAGGAAATTTTTTTTTTCATCATCGTGCAAAAAAAAGGCTTTTTTAAGAGCAGAAATGCCAACTCAGCTGTTGTTTCTAAATATACCCAGAACCCCTACTGATTAAAAGACAAATTAGCGACTTGCAGTATGTGTCGTAAAGCGGTAAAAGTTGCTACGCCTTTGCCAGCCCCACTGCCACAATGGCAGGTTGGACAACGGTGGTTTGAACAAAGGGGGAAAAAAAAAATATAGCATTATTTCTGACTTGTTCATAAAAAAAAAAAAACAATACCACACCATTTTACAGCGGCAAATATGGATATATAAAACTTTCCATCAACTAAAGAGGAAAAAAACGATGTAACTGCAAAATTTTCTTCCTCCTTTAAGAACATGTTAAAAAGGCGTAAAACTTATTCCATCGCACATTTTACATTCTTGCTCATTCGTTTTTCAGCCCTTTTCATGTATATTCCAGTTTTACACCTTTTTCTGTTTACACTTTTTTTTTTGGTTCACTCCTGTCCGCTTCATCAAACGTGTGATCTCATCCACTCGCGTTAGACACCATCACAAGGACTCAAATAAATTGGCGCTTCTGTTTAGGGGAAAAACCGAGACGAACAAGACAGTAACTAAAAAATTGACGAGCGAAGTAGTAAATAATAAGCCGGCGAGCAAAGTAGTAACTAATAAGCTGGCGATCAAAGCAGTAACTAACAAACTGAGGTGCAAGTAAACCTGTCATAAACTCAACAGAACAATGAAAATGCGCAAAGACATGGTCACCTTCCTGTTTGGGATCATAGCGTCCATTCTCCTCTTCGTGGTAGGGGGGATGCTTGACAGCGTCAACTACATTTTAGGATGTTACACATTCGTAGGATTAGTTTTGATGATGTACAGCATACTCGCGTTTCTCGTTCCAAGCACGAAGAAGTCAAGAGATTTTGTCTTCTCGTACGGAGTCACCACCGCATGCATGTTCGTGATATCGCTAATGATTCACATAGTAATAGTTGATTCGCACGTAAAATCATCATGCAAATATAGCAATGGCAATTGCATGAAATATGTATTTATATCCGTGTGTGGGTTTACTTCAACTTTCTGTTTCCTAGCTGCTTCGATAATGACGTTCAAGGTGATCCACGTTTGGTAGGCGTGGCAACAAAGTTGTCGCTTATCCGTGTGACGTCCTCGCGTTGCGTTCCTGCACATGTCACCATTTTTTTCCCTCCCACGTTTGTCACGCTATAATTGTTTTTCCGCGTTTTTCTGCAACATACACGTTTCTACATCCCAAAGATTGACTAAAATGTGTCTTGCTCGCTTGAATGTACCCTCCCCCCCTTATGAGTGTGAATTTCACCGCGACTCGTTGCGTTCGCTATGACCTAGTTCATCTCGAACTATCGATCTTTCGTAAAATCCATTTTAAAGTAAATGTCCCCGTTTGGCTGCCTTTAACGGAGAAATGTACCTACAAGGTTTTCTCAGGGGCTTGGCGGTGTAACAGAACATCCCACTGTAGTTATTCCCACATGGGAAGGGTTAAAAGGGGGGAAGAATAAACAGTCTCTTAAGAAAGACAAAGACGCATACTAATAAAATTGCACATATTTTGAAAAAAAAAATAAAATAATAAAAAAAAACAGCTAGGCCGCTCCGGCGGAACAACTCAAATGGATTAAACGCAACGTACACGTAATAAGCAAAAGTGAACCAATTTAGGCCCCTAAATTGGGAAAAATTAAAAGAAAAAGAACACGAGGTGATGCCCATCGACACGACGCTATCGCTGCTGAGCCCCTTCAATTGACAAATTTGTTGAACTGCTCGGCGACCCTGTGCGCAGAGGTTTTTGCATCCATAAACAGAGTATCAGCCTGCTCAATGTGTTTTACATCAATGACCGTTTTGCCCTCAATGCTAGCTATAATTCTAGAGGGTTCCAATAGAAGCATGGCAAAACGGAGGGAGGACTGGCTGCCAATTTTGGCTAGATAATTCATCCCCTCTTCGCTAATGTTGATCTTTTCTGTATGCGCCCGTAGAGCTAAAATCTGAACAATTTCTTTCAGCGTGTAGGGAAACGTTTTCACGATGATAAGCCTATCTAGGAGGTCCACCGAAATGCCATGAGGTTCAATATTATCTGTTCCTTTAACGGTACAGATACCTCTATTGGTTGCCATTATAACAATTGGAGCTAAGGGGGATTCTATGGCCCTATTTAGATAAGAGAAACATTCTATGTCTAACATATGTGCTTCATCTATGTATAGAACCCCTGGGATAATTTCGGCTAGTCCCATTTCTAAAAATTTATTCACAGTTTTGTTAATTTCTACTCTTAGCTTTTCCGTAATTTCGGTCTTTTTAGGTCTCAAATAGGAATTCAATACGGAAGCTAGATCTTCCCCTACGGTCGGGTTCGCATTAGCTAAATCAATATCGTGCAAGGAAATCTGTTGTATCACTTCCTTCTTTTTGTGAACCTCCCCCTTAGGTAGAGATACGTACTCATCAAATTCGATGTCGTATTCTTTCGAGTACACATTACATCTACCTAACCTTTTTACATGTCCTGTATTCGTTTCTATATAAATAACGTCTCCAATTTTTATTTTTTCTCTAACAATTTGTTCATGTATTTTGGGGGCTAATCTCAACGTCTTTGCTCCCTTCACCGTCTTGAGGGTAATAATAATGGCGTTAATCTGTTTCGCTTTATTTAACGAATACAAGCACTCATTTTCTTCCACCACCATATCGACCACCTCCCCCTCGTATACCAACTTCTCGTCCTTTATTTTTATGTGTATACTTTTTCGGAAGGCTTCTAAAATGACTTCCGTTTTTTTTATCTCATTACTGTACACTTCGGAACCTGATAGGAACACGAAGGGCATTTTTTTATTTATCTCCCTGCTGATGCCGATTGCTAGGGCGCTCTTCCCGCTTCCACTTGGACCCGCTAACAGGATACACTTCCCAGCTAGCTTTTTCTGCTTTATTAAATCCACTAGAAATAGAGACGCTTCTCTTGCTTTGAATTGCCCAACAAGGCCACACGAATTGTCAAAGAACATCGAATACCGCTCGTCCGTTAAATTCACGTCATTTTCGTGCAGGTATATGTTCGTGTTTACTCCTAACCCTTTGATATGACTATGGATGTTTACTCTTTCTTTTTTCGCGTCGCTTGACGTGTTGACGCTGGCTAGTTTGATCTGCATTTTTGTCCTTCTCTTTGGGTGGCAATATGTTACGTAAGTTCCGCTCCGGGCCTCTTCTCGCATTCACACGGGGAAACAACTGCGCCAAGCATTACACAGGAAAAGTCCTCCCGCTTGGCCAAAATCACTAGCGTGGTAACCCTGCAAATTGAAGTGGCACCTAGGTACGACGAGATGGACGTCCTAAGTGGCCATCCTAAGTGGGCACTTATACACGTCGCTATCGTAAATATTCTCACTATGCGCTACACGCACGCCGCCAACCGGGGGAGATATTCCAACTGGTATGCATATGCAGCGTTAACCGCGACACGCGGGGACAGTTGCTATCTCAGAATGAATATCCCCAGCGAGGGTTACATCGTCCGTCGTTTGTTCAGGGGGCATGCTTCTACAAGCTCCGCATTACAGATGCAGCATGGGATAGGCTTGCCCCACAAGTGAAAAAGAAATACATATAAATAGAAATATAAATAAAAATACATATACATGTAATACAAATTCACAGCGAAACGGCGATCTATTTCCAGCCAAATACGTTTTCTGCTCGTTCGCCAGGCAAATTCTCTGCCGATGTTGGGGGAAAAAAATTTCACATGGGTTCTTTCCCTTGGTCCATAGTACGCTACTGGCCAGGACGTTTCTCCGGCTGCTCTCTCTTCCGTGTTGCATGTCCCAGTCGTATATGCACTCAACTGAGGCTATTTTTTTTTTTTTTTTTTTTTTCCACCCCCGTAACGGCACCTCGCGTCAACATGAGGGTTACACCTAAAGTCATGTGAATAAAATTTGAGTTCGGGAATTCATCAGAGAAGCGTTTCGCTAAAACGTCGTCAAGTTTGTTTTACTGCAAGACCAACTATATGAGTCCTTTTCATTTTTTCCCCCTTCCATAGTGCGAAAAGGAGAAGGGGAAAAAAACATATCACACCTATCCGGGCAGGTTATTTTGAAATATACGAATGAGCTAAGCGTATGTGGCTTCCTCCAAAATGCAGTTTTACTTTTCATAGTAGGGGCATATACGAAGAAGGGGAACACCAGGGAGGATGATGCGGGGCTGATTAAGAAGCGAACAATTTGCTAAACAAGCCACGTGTGAGAGTTGCTCGCACGTGGGCTACGTCCCCTGCCCCATTGCGATATACACACATGAGCACACAGGCAACCGCGCGTAGAGGAGCCAACCCCATCCACCCGTACGGCACAGCAAAACTAATTATTATGACAACCGAAAATTTAAATGAAACGGATAAGGACCTGCTTAGCGCTTTTGCTAGTCCTCCACGTGCAGCTACCGCTAGGGATGCTATTTTGCGATGGCTTCCTCCTAGGTGAGCAGCTAAACGGGAAGGGAAAACCAAAACGAGGAAACCACGACGCATAACTAGTCATGGATAACCCGCCACATACCAATCGCCAGGCGCAAATGTGCCCACTCCTGCTGCGCCTTCCCCCCCAGTCCGCCAATCCCTCCAGCTTCAGCGCCCCCGCACCGTTAATCCATGCCTCGAAATGAATCCCCATTTTTGCACCTCTCAACTGTGTAGATAACCGAATTGTTTGTTCGCCCCGTGGATCATGGAGCCTTCCTCGAAAAAGAAAGCGCGACAGGAATAATGCTTCCAGGGGGATGAGCACCGACAGTGCATACGTCACGTTGGCCATGTCCGATGGACACGAGGAGACGGCCCTTGTGCGTGGTGAGACGCCCAGCTTGAGCGAAGAGCTTCCCAAGGGGGACACAAAAGAAGGACCCTCCAAGACGACCATAAAAACCAAGGCACAAAAACAAAAGGAAGAAATTGAGGAAATTATAAAAAAAAGCGAAAACATAACAATAGAGCGTTCCTTTTCCTTTAACAGAAGTGACATAACGATTAAGCCGGTATGTGGGTCGGGAAAAATGTAGACGCGGCAGACGATGCCAACTGTGTTAGTGTGACTTTTCCCCGCAGTTCTACGCTGCCTATCCTCTAACTCTGCGTAACACCATGACCTCTTATGACCGCTTATCCGCGCCTCCCCCTCGTAGGAACTGCTAAAGGAGCTCATTACGCAAAAGTACCGGAGGCTCTTTCAGCGGCATGACAAAGACTGCGGTAGTAGCGAGATTCAAATTATCATTTTGACTTTCAAAATATTTTTCCTCACGGAGCATATGAAGCGAAACAAAAAGGTGAGTCCCACCAAGGAAAAAGGAAAAGGAAAAAAAAAAAAAAAAAAAAAAATTATTAACAAAATAGTAGCTAACCAAATGACGGAATGTTTGAGAACCCTACTGAGGGGGTAAACCCCCCGCGGGCAGGCAGCTCTCGTTTGGGTCGGCCCAACTTCCCCCATTTTCACCCCCTCATACACGTTGCACCATCACTACTGCATTTCCCTTTCGCAGGACTTTGCCTGTTTGAGAGGCCTCTTCAAATGTGTAAGCCAACGAAGAAGGTTGCTTGTCTACCTAGGGAGGAAAAACAGAGATATCTTTGACAAGATCACAGATTTTTTTAAAATAAAAAAACCGCTGATTCCAGGGACAGCTGAATATTACGACAAAGATCTCAAGTATGTTCATTTCAAGAACACGAAGAGGTTTAAAAACAGCGCGGAGCGGAAGAAAAAGATGAAAACAAAGAACAAGAAAGTGCAAACGGACAAAATTCTGTTTGGCGACTGATTGGGGGGAGCGATACAAGTTCCCATCTTTCGCCTGAGATACGTATGTGCCCTTTCCGATGTGAAGAATGATGCACGTGATTCCTCGAAAGGAGAAAAAAAAACATTCATAATGTAGCCTCGCATTTGTGTATTCCCCGGGCAGCATCTCCCCCTTTTTTTATTTTATTTTTTTGTAACGTACATGCGAAGCGGTAAGTCCCCATTTCGCATCGATTTTTTCTTCCCCCCTTTTGTGCATTCCTTTTTTTACAACATACCGCGTAGGCAAGTCGCACATCGCGCATGCCACTTCAAATCGGAGCCAGGTGCAAACCAGTTTCCTGAATCGACTCAGTGAGGGCTACGCATAAAACTCACACCTTCTCTTCCCCCATTGTGATTCCTTCACATAATTATTTTTTTTTTTTCCATCCTCTCTTAAACTTTAAAATAATTTTCCTCCCCCCTGCGCGCAAAACACATGGTTGATGAACGGAAAAATAATTACCGCCCATTGATAGGCTTTTTCCCCGCGGTGAGTTCCCCCGCTCTTTCTGCATAGGTGGAGCGCCCGCTTCAGCAGCGTCCCACCGCCTCACCGCCCCACGGCCTCTCCATCCCACTAGCCGCCACTCTCTCTGCTGCGCTCATCGGAGGCGTTTTCCATTCTGTGCGTCTTCCCTTCTGCTCGCCCTTTTTCCCCTTTTAAAAAACGTCATTATCATAGTTAAACATGGCATGATTGGGCGGCCTTCTCACCCCTTTTCGACTCAATCCACAAAATGAATTGCCTACCTGGGAACAATGTAGAACGAGGAGTTTCGCATTTTATTTTTCCTTTTCACGTTCTGCTACACGCAGTGCGCAGTTGGTTTTCCCTTTTGGCGCTTCTCCTCGTTGTACTGCATGGGGTAACGCTCTGTAAGAGTGGCCGCGGGGTGGACGCGTCGCGGGGCTCCCCTGGCGTGCCCCCCATTTTCAGTGTCATCAGCAGCGATCTCAAACTGGGCAACCAAGCGGACTACGTGAGGAGGGCGCACCACCACGAGGGGGTGAGACTTTACGAGCAGGTCAGGAACAAATGCAGGGTGTACTTTTTGCCGCTCGTCTGGCCGTGCGGCGAGAAGGGGGGCCCACAAGGGGCAACCACAGAGAGAGACAATGAGGGGGAGGCTAACAGAGCGGTTAAAGAAAGTGCTGACAAAGCCGCTAACCAAACCGATGGGGACACCCCCGAGGGGAGTGCTCCGCGCGCAGCACGGGGGGACGACGAAACCCCCTTCGAATACCTGCAGCGAAACCTGGGAGACATGAAACACAAAATGGAAAGCCTCGCGGAACACATCGCACAGTCGGACGTCGTCATAGTCCCCATGAATTACCACGACATTTTAAATAAACATCTCCTGGACATTCCTCAGTTTAGCAACTTCCTCAATGTGATGGACTTGCTACTTTATGTGAACCAAAGCAATGATAGCCACAATGTCATTTTTTACATATACAATTTTCATGAGGATGATGATGAGGATGCGGCGGGAGGTAGATCATCAAGCGATGACAGCGACGTAGCGAAGGAAAAGGCATCCATCGCTGACATAGTAAAGTCGTTTCTTCGAAGCCACTGGAAGGATCAGTACCACACGTGTGTGAAGGAGAGGTTCGTCTTTTCGAGAGACAACTGCATCGATGTGGATAGATGGCGTGGCCAAATTGGGAAGAAGAGGTTCTACAACCGAGTGAAGGTCCCCATTCGGGGTAACCCTCCAGAGGGGCAAATCACTCTGTCACCGCGTAACCCTGCAGAGGGGAAAATAACTTTATCACCGCGTACCCCTCCAACTGGGGATCGCAGAAGCTACTCCATCTTCACGAATCACCGTCTCGACGCGCTGAAGAACCTGACTAGGGAAAGCTACTTCGTGTATAATTTTTTTTCCAACTTGAAAATCTCCATTCTCCATGAATATTTAAAATTGGCAAGCCAACTCAAAATGGACAATTTTGATTCCCAATCAGATGCGGGAAAAATGAAAATAAAAATGACCCAAGTGGCGAAAGAAGTAGAAATGCTTCTTAACAAATTCTTACTCTTCCAATTAGACAAGAGGGTCGTTAAGAATGAAGACATCATAGAACAGATCAGAAAGAAGCAGCACTCTTACCTCGTCCGCATCGTCCTAACAGACCTGCTGGAAAAATATGAGCACTTTCTGGAGACCCTCATTCGACAATTGTACCAATCGTATAGACAGAGAATAAAAAAAATAAAAATAAATTCAAATATGATTAGTCAGTTTGCGAAGGAAATCAAAAACATGGATGATCTGTTCCACCTCTACAACTCCTCCATGTCCTTTGTCCACCACTTCAAGAACAAAGAGGATTACTTTCGGGAAAGGGCTAACTGTATTGCCCTTCACATGGAAGCAAAAATGCTGCAAACAATGAACGAAATCACTATCGAGATTATTAACTATTATATATCACAGGGGGTGTACGTTCGGCATTACGATTTCACTTCTTCTTTTCTTTCCCTGAGAAAGTACTCCTTCTTTTCTTACATTCTCCAAAAAATCGCCGACATGCTCAGGAACAGAATAAGCCTCAGCTTTAACTACCTATCCCCGAGCGCCTTCGGCTTCTCCTCCTACAAGTAAGGCCTGTGCGGGGAGCTAACCCGCGACAGGAAGAAGCGGCGTCCCACAATCCACGCTGAGCAATCGCGCTGCTGTTCTGTACTGCTACACTGCACTGCTACTCCACGGTGCCACTCCGCGTCGCTGCTGCACCCGCTCGACATGCCCTTTTCCCGCACCCCTACCCTCAGGGACGACCTCTCCTTGTCGCCCAAGCGAGACCTCATGATCACCACCAGCGAAATGGACCAGGTGGAAAAAATGTAAGTCCGCAGGTGCAGGCGCGCAAGGCACATCGGCCAACCGAGCACCTGTATAAAGGGATGGTTGACGGGATAAGCGGCTGACCGATTAACCGCTGAACCGCCTAACCCATTCTCTAACTGCGTCCCCCTCGCAGAAACATCCCCGCGAGTACCTACTCGAAGATTCTCCTCTCAATGGAAACGAATAAGAGGTAACCAAATTGGACCCACATGAGAAGCGGACTCCCTGGGTGAGTACCATTCCACTAAAAAAAAAAAAAGACGTCACGCCAGTTTTCCCATTTTCTTCTCTTTGCATTAATTACACTAGCCCTTCTGTTCCAGTGTTAGTATCTGTGCTCCCGTCCAATGAGTTCTCTACAAAAGGGAAGGGAGCGGCCTCACATCATTTGGTGTCATGTCATACGGTGCCATTGCATCCTATGGTATGGGGTATGCCATGATATGTCATCCTAATATATGCTATGTCATCCTAATCTATGTCATGTCGGACTGTAGGCGGTGGGAGCTCTCTTCTCCGCCCCTCCAAAAAAAAAAGAAAAAAAACTTACCTCAACTTGTATTTGAGCTTCGAAATCTTTTTACTGCGCTCCGTAATTATCTTGTTTATCGTGTTGCAGTTTATGAAGGGGAGGTGCACGATGTACTCCCACGTTTCTCTGCGGGGATGGAAGAGAAAGAGAAGGAAAAATAAAAATGACTATAACGAGGATGGGTGATGACGCAACCACTCGGGACGACTTCACAAATAAATCAACCGGATCGGGCGATGGGCTAGGAGGAGACCCGTGAAAGGCCCCTTCCACGAGCACGTACTTTTTTCCATTGGGATCGATTCGGACGTTCTCTGGGAAGAAGGACTTCACCTCGTCTTCGGAGTAAATATTTCTACGTGGATGGGCCGAGTGGTGAACAGGGTATGTGCAGGGGCATCGCTATTGGCATGTCCCTGTGTGTGCTTGTCGTGGAGTATCATCTGGGTGGCTATGCAAACGGCGCATCTGTGCACAGCTCGCCACCTTGAATGGGCGGCGATGGACTCACTTGTACGCCTCGGGAAGGAGATTGTTGTCTTTCTGCGGCAGCACGCTGATCAGGTGCGTGTAGGCCGAGTAGGGCTTTCCCTGCGGGGAGGGAGAGGTAAAGGGGGCGATCAGGCGGACGATAAGGCAGACGACCAAACTCACGCTTGCACATATGTATATACAGGTAAATACAGACATCCCCACGGAGGTTACGCCGTGGTCGCCCCTACCTTTTCAAAAAAAAAATCGGACTTCTCAAAGGAGAGCAAATCGCTGCACAAGGGCGCGTAATGGTAGGGGTACTCCCTGCAAAGAAAGAGAGAAAGAAAAAAACAGAAAAAAAGAAAAAAAGTCCATGTGTAATATCGCTTCCTCATTTTGTACGACGGGGTGCATCTGGGAACGCGACGAGGCGCTCTCTTCTGGTGATGCCCCTGTTAAGCCGTCGCCTGGGCGAAGCGGTTCCACGCTTTTTCCCTCCACTTACCAATACCAGCTGGCGCATCCGAAGTGGTAATAGTGCAGATTCCAGAAGAGGCCCTCAATATATTTCTTCACAATGTGCTGGATCTGCTTGGGGTCCTCCACGCCAAACTTCTGTAGGTAATAGTAACCCTTGTACTTGCCCTCATCGGTGAATTCAATGACGTTTTCCTGATTTCCTCTCTTCAGAAAGTAGGAAAACTCTTGGGCACTTAAAATTTTTAGGATAATCTTAAGCCTCTGAATATGGACCTTGTCCTTAAGCGTTATGTAGTTGTTGTATCTATATATGTAGTATATGTACGCATTTAGAATCTCATTCATGGATCCTTCATTAATATCGATGTTTGGAATGTGTGGGAGGAAGTCGTTTCCTACTAGGAAGGAGAGGAAGACAATATCGTCTACCACTCGGTTGATGTTAAAGATGACATTTTTTTCTTTTTTCAATTTATTTATGTAGGTTGCTATCTGCGTTCTTATCGAGTTGCGCAATTTGTACACATCTAAAATTTCGAAGTCGTAACTGTTGAGCGGTTCGCAGTTGGCGTAGTAGTCCTGCGTGTAGTGGTGGACTCTGCAGAAGGGGGATCTCTCCGGGGGAGGGAGAACGGTGCGCAGAGTGGAGTCCGCCTGATTGGTATCGTCTTCACTGCCCCCCTGAATGGGATCTTCCCGGTTTCCCCCCTCAGTGGTATCCTCTGCGTTCCCCCCATGTGTGGCCGCCTCCTCCCTAGGCTGGCTAAAATCCCGCTGCATCATCTCCAAATTTTCCAGCAGCGCAACGTGCGAGTCGTTGTTCATTTTGTACTTGTCCCTCAGAATAAAGATGTTGTTAAGGTGCGTGACGAGTGACAGCATAATGAGATCGGCGTCCAGTCCATAGATGCAGTGGCTGTAGTTTCGGAAGCCGCCGTCGCGCTTGCAGTTCTGCGGTGGGGAGAGGTGAAATAGGGAAACAATCATGTGGCGACGCGGAACGCTACATCGTGACGAAGTTTGAAGGGATATAACACATAATACGCCACCCCATTGCGGGAAGGGTTTCGTTACACAAATTACTCCACTTCTCCACAACGCTTCTCGGCGCCGCTTCTTAATCGCGCGTACCTCCCGAATGAACTTCAAAATTTTGTGCTCACCCTCCCCGGGGACATCCGACCCGGAGAAGATCACGTCGAAGGGGAAGATCCCCTTCTTCTTCAAAATCTGGAACCACTTGTTCAGAGCGAGGTTAATCTTGTACATGAAGTCGGTGCCGGTAGTGATACAGTTAGGATTAAACAAGTTAGCCCCGTTAGAATTATCGCTGACCTTGAATAAGCTGAGGAAGCGTCTTTTCCTTTGTTGATTCATCTTGGCCTTAGGGGACACCCCATCGACCCCGACATAAACTAACTTCCTTGGTTTCACTAAATGAAACAGATTCTTCAAATAGTTCAGAATATTCGACAACAACTCGTGTTCATCATGCAGAGGTAATGTCTCCTTGTTCGCATGTGTGCAGTGATGTATCACTCCATTCATGTCCACATAAAAGATATCCACCTCTTTCTGCTTCTCATTTGTAATTAGCTCTTCTCTCACTGTAGGGTAATACGACGTCAGCCATTTGTACATGCGTGGAATGCCAAAAATCCGATGTGCCTTTCTTTTCTCCACCCACTGATATCTTGGACAGCTTACATTCTTCACCATGTTGTTGGATGAACCAATGAAGTGCTGTTCCTTCCTCTTTGCGCCGCTTGCAACTACCCAGATGAAACATGCCAAGGAACATGCCAGTGAACATGCCTCCCAAAATGGTACACGCATATTCAATCTGCTTCGTCGCGCTTACACTTGTGCTTTTTTTTTTCTTTTGCTTTCCATCTGCATTTTTGCTTTTCTCATGGGTGGGATTTTTAATAACCTGTTGATAATGACTGCGGCAGGGGCAGGGGCTGGCCTCCTAGAATGAAGAGAGGCATACTAACATCAGACCCACAAGGAGACATGGGCTGCGGGGAATGCCCCAAGAGGTCACACCAGTGGTAGCAGCATTAGCAACGGTAGCAACGGCGGAGCAGTCGTGTGGCAGGGCTGGTCGCGCTGGCAATTGTGTACTGTTTGCACAGAATCCCTTCCACGCTGCTGTTTTTTTCTTTCTTGTTTTTTCCTCTATTAAGCTGCGACCAGCAATATGATGCACTTCTCGCCCTTGAAGAGATCAACTCCTGACGCGAAAAAAAAAAAAAAAAAACAATAAAGTGAAGATCCTTCTAACCCGCAGGAACAGTCACCGATCAGCTGTCAGCGCAAGGTGTGCGCACTGCATCTGGGCACCCAATTGGGCCATCTTTTTTATTTTGTTCCATTTTAACGTCCCCTGCGGGGTGAAAGCGGCGCGCAAACTCCTGAACGGGCAGTGCAAATTGTTATGCTAAAAAGAAGAGGAAGAAAAAAGAAGGGTCAAAGAAATGAGGCAGCCAGGCAAAGAAGCAACGGGGCAACCAGGCAGCAAAGTAACCAATCGACGAGAAACGGATCAGCCAGGATCGGATCATCGAAGCAACGAAACGACGGAGCGATCAGACCTTTGGTGAATACAAAATAGAAGATATTCCGAATGGACCTGACATCTGTTTCGCCTCTTGCCTCCTTTCCCGCCTCACCACTAATACACCCCAGATGACGCGAACGAGCAGGGACCTCTGCAAATTCGTCTGCAGCAAGTGCAACAATTTTGTTTACCTGAACGAAGCGTGCAACTTGGTATTCAAAAAAACATACCCCGAGTACGCCAAAAAATATTATGACATGAATGAGCTAAGTAAAGAACGGGACAGCAGCACAGGTCCACCACTCCACCTTCTTGACAATCTCTACAGACAGATTTATAGTAATGGATTTTGTGGGGTTAACAAACAAAAGAACGATTTTGCGAACAAGGATGGTCTCAAAAAAGTGTTGCAATTTCTAAACAGGGGCAATATAAAATGTACCAAGTGTAGCGCGGCGAACATGTGGCACCTTAAGTAGGAAAGGAGGGACGCACAATGATACGGGCAACAGTACGCAACCACGCGGGCGTCCCCAAATGATGATTCTAACTTTGGTCTCGCTCCCGAGCGGTTCCTCTTCTGATTAACAAACTGAGTTGCCGTGCAGCGAGCGAGATGAGACGAAAAGAAGCAAAACAAAACGAAGCGGAGCGAAACGAAACGGGACAAAAAAATTAACCATGGTGAAAACAAAGGGAGGCACAAAAAAAAAAAAGAAAAAAAAAAAGAACGCACACTTCTGGGCCGTGTGTCTATATCTGCAAGCACAGCTGTGCACACATCCGATCTGCACGACGGAAGAGAGGATAAAAAGAAGAAAATTGCAAAGAGTCAGCTTAAAAGGGCTAATTGCGGCATGATAACTGCGACATCTTAATTGCGGCATTCTAATTACGGCATCCTAATTACGGCATCCTAACTGCGACGGCCCCCTTCCAACGGATCAGCGACGCCGGTGACTCAGTTGGTTGCCTTCAAATTTTGAATACTCATCATAATCTTTTTCTTCTCCAGATCCAACATCTTCTCTTCTTCAACCTTTTTTACGCAAATTTGGACGAATTCCTGCAGGGGGGAAGAGGAGGAGGATGATATGTGTGCTTGCAGAAAGGGGGGAAGAAGCACTCCAGCAGGGATGCCACATCGAGACGGTCCAATCGAGATCATCCAGTCGACCTCTATCCAATGGACCTATATCCAATGCAACCGCTCAACCAATGCCACGCGCGAACCCACCTTTATGATACCCCTCGTGAAGGCGTCCAAAGTGTAGACATTGCTTATCAGGGCATACGTGTCGATGATGACGTATATATAATTGAGCGTGCTGGGGAAGCTCTTAACGATGAGGCTGTACAGGCGAATGATCTCCTCGGCGAGGCCAAACTTGATTCCATCATCTCGGCCGACTTGAATTCGTTGATTTAGGAAAACAAAGATGCTGTATACTAATTTCATGAGGTCAATTATTTCGATCTTTTTTTTTTTATTGGCATTACTCATGTAGAGAGTGCCATCAGAGATTGCTTCTTGGAGGTACTTTTTTTTCTTCTGCAAAATGGCTGATGCGCAGTTGTATACTTTCTGCATCAGGCTGTTTAAGAATTCGCTGGAAATTTCGATTCTGTCTCTTTTAAACTTTAGGAAGCTTTTCTTTCGCACGATCGTTTTGCTTCTTCTCTTCACGGGGTCGTTTCCGTTTCCATTGCTGCTCTCATTACTGTCTTCACTGCCGTTGCCACCAACCTGGTGCGCCTCTTTCGAGGTTGGCTCCTCTTCCTGACTACGTATCTCCTTGGGGGGTAGCCCTTGCACCGCGTCAAACATGTCATCCACATCGTCCACCCACAGGGCGCTCCTTCGATGCAGAAACTGCTCAAGGCGGCGTCTACTCTCTTCCCTGACATCACCCCCGTCGTGACAAACGGGCTCATCATGGAAGACGCTGTCCCCCAAGGCACTGCTATCCACATTGGCCAAGGAATACATGATGTAAGAAAGTTCCTTGACAGAAAAATTGGACACAATTGTCACATCATTCTTAATAACATCGAAGAGATGTTTGAACCCAATTTTTATTTTCCTCGCAAAGGTGTTGACATAGATACTTATAGTCATTGAGTCCAAGGGCAACTTAAAATAAGTGGCATGGTGTCGTAAGAAGTCATCGTCATTTTGAGATTCCTCTTTCACGTCCTGCTCAGTCGAGGTAGCAAAACCGTTTGAGTGGCATCCATCTCGATGTTTCTGACTTAAATATAATTTCATGTGCAGAGAAAAGTACACGGAGAAAAGATAACAGAATTTTAGGAAAAACTTCTTTTTAATTACGTGTTTGTTGAGCGAAGTCATGGCCCACAGCGCCGAGCCCAGGTTGTCATACTTGATTTCGTTTATGCTGATGCGCGTCGACTTGCTCGTTCTCTCGGTGTGGCGCGCGGGGGGGTTGCAAAGCATGTCGGTGTTGTCTTGATAATCAGACTGAGCAGCGTTGCTATCGGAGGAATGGATTCTTGCGTATCTATTCCCTGGAGAATCCAACTGAGTAGCGTCCCCATCCGAGGAATCCATGGGGGCGTCCCTATACGACGAATCCAACTGAGCAGCGTCCCCATCCGAGGAATCCAACTGAACAGCCCTGCTGCCCACCACATTCTCATCAGAACCAACTTCACCCCCCCCGGCAGTGTCTATCCCAGCCCTCTCATACACGTAGCGAGGGAATTCAATTCTGTTCAGCAGCCAGTCGAACTTATTAAAAATGTTCCTGTGTATATGCTTATATTTTGTTAGCAAATAAATGAGCTGGCATATATTTGAAGACTTCCATTTGAGGAATGAATTCTCCACAATGCTACACAGCAGTATTAACATTCTATTCACTTGTTCAGACAAAGCATTCATGCCTTTCCTCTCCACCTCGTAATAATTTAATAGCCCTTGAAGAAAGTGAATTATATCATTTGAAGTGAAGTAGTTAAACCTGGTAGTATTGATATACCTGACGGAGAGGCAGAAAATCTCATCCAGCTCTTTTTTGCTTTCTACTAAATTCATGTTTCTTCCTATGTAATTAACATAAATGGCTAGCTGTTTTGGCATTATCACGTTTCTAAAGTTGACACTTTTTTTTTTTTTGTAAAAAGTCTTTGTCTCCTCATCATACAGTTCTTCTATTCGCTTTTCCTTTATGATGTATATATCGTTAATGCAGACATATGTCGGGTGGTGTACCTGGTCTGTGTTGCTACTCTGGTAGAGATTCTCAAACTGCTTCAATGAGTCGGCAATGCTTCGCTTCACATTTGCTATTAGTTTTCTCTTCATTTCGGTGCTATACAGTTTTGTGAATTTGCTCAGCGCCAGCACATCCAGACATACATCATTGGATTTCCCTTTCCCATCTGACGTAGCGATTCCATCTGCAGGGGGTCCTTCCGACGTCTCCCGATTATCGGTATGGGTGTGTATACTTTGAGCTGTACCCAATGGGGTTACCTCTTCCCTTCCGCCGCTGACACCGTCACAGTTGGCATCTCCAATTTGGGGCTCTCCATCTGCAATTTCCCGTTCGCCATATGATGGATGCGCAGAGTTGGTCTGCTCAAAGGTGCTGCTGTCCACAAGGGGTGGGCCCTCTCTCAGGAGCTCCTCGCTTTGGAAGTGGTCGGTATAGCGGTCACCTAGGAGGTTACCGATTGGGGTATTGGCAACTGCGGCATTGCTAAATGAGTCATCTCCAACTGAAGCATTGCCAACTGAAGCATTGCCCCTGAATAGGCTGCTGCTTGGAGCATTTCCCATCTCCGCTCCACCACTTTTCTGGGCCGCCTCGACTAGCCGCCCAAACTGAAAGAGGTGCATGTTCCCGTTCAGCCACTCGTACATGTATTTGTCCTTCAGGTCCAATTTGATCAGCGACACGAGCGAACTCCTCAGGCAGTTGTAAATAAAAATCAGCTCGTTCTTATGCTCCATACGCAGGCGTTCCTGGAGTGGAAGAAGTGGTTCCTCCCCCCCCTCCACAGCTGCATCTGAGCCAGTCGCGCCACCTTCCTGCACAGAGCGTTCTCCCTCGTCCCGACGAATGACGAAGACGAAGTAGTCAACATATTTCACCAGGACATCATTGCATGCGCGAACGAAGTCTCCCAGGAGACCCACATCCAGGCTGTCATAATTATTGTGCAAATTTAAATTCCGAATGTTAGGATTCTTCAAAGGATAAAATATCTTCGAAATGCATTTAATAAGTTTGTACACTTTGCTCAGAGTTTTAATTCTAAAAATGTCTACATTTTGTGAGTAGCTATTCTTCCTATGGGGAATGCTCACCAGAGCGGTGCTTCTTCCATGCTGCGTTTCAGGAATGCTTCTTCCATGTCGCATCTGAAGAGTCCTTCGTCTTAGCTTCCTCTTCAACGTGTCGAAATTGAAGAGGGAAAGCAAAATGTCTCTCTTCAGAATTATAGACATTATTCTGTTCAGTAAGAGGACGCTACTTCTTAACAGCAACGTCTGAGATTCGAAAATGATAAAGGGAATATAGATGTAATATTTTTCCTGCAGGAATTGTAGGTTTCCGTGGAGGTGCTTATATATGTGATTGAATATGTCAAGGATGTGTTTAACCGTTTCTTCAGTCAGATGGAACTTGTTTTTGAGGTAGGCCACTTGGTGGGGGCTGTACGGGGCTTCTTCGCGCACGCCGTCTCCCCGGAGGGATCCACCCGGGGAGGAGTCACCAACTGAGAAATCACTTCCATCGCTGCCAACCGCAGAGGAGGCGCCCCCCGCGCACAGCACGTTAAAGTGCAGCAGCTTGCACAAGCTCCAGATCGCCCACAGAGACTCGTCGATGGACAAATACCCCTTCACCTTATTCAAGTGCAAAACAATGAGGGAAAAAAATTTCCTAAAGTTATGCAACAGGGTAGTTGTCACCGCGTGGATCTCGGAGAAGGGCACGCTGCCAGTGTTGTCCACGTTGCTTCCCATGCTGCTATCCACACTGTTGGAGCCTTTAAAGAGCTTGATGAGGATAATTGTGATGGCCCAAAGAATGGACGACATCTCGTATGAACAAAATTTATCCATGTCTTTTATTAAAATCTCCAGGCATTTGTTAATGTCTCCATAAGTTAGGTGAAATTCCTTCACCCTCGTTTGCCTCGGATCGAAATACTTATTTTTAATCAGCACGTAATCCCTCCTTAGCTGTATTTTTATGTATTTCTTATTTATGCTTATGGACATCTTGTGTAGCCATTTTTCCACACATGTGTGATTGAACCCTTTGTCCTTTATCGCCGTCACGAAGTTGGCGAAGTTCTTCTCCTTCCACGAATGGTAGATGTAGTTCAGCAGGTGGAGCGATCTGCACAATGAGGGGGCGGGGGGGGAGAGAATGAATAAAAGGGCGCAAGGAAGAAAAGAGGTGGCAAAAATGATGACAGAAATGGTAGCCAAAATGGCAGCGAAAGTGCCAGCCGAAGTGGCAACCGAAGTGGCAACCGAAGTGCCAACCGAAGTGCCAGCCAAAGTGGTAACAAAACTATGGGGCAAACTCACCGGTTCTCTTCACCGCCTTGCAGAAAGCTCCGCACATTCGTGTTCTGTATGTCCACGACACCCTGAGGGGTTCCCTTCTTCCGATGTGGACCTCTGTTCGTACCGACCAGACTTCTTACCCCCCCGTGTGTCTGACTCATTTCCTTGGTTTCACTCTTTTCCCGCTTGGGGCTCTCCGCTTGGCCAATTTCTGCTCCTCTATCATGTTTAATTTGATTCTTCGAACCACGTCTAAGTGGGTCACTTCCTGCATCCATCATATCACTACCTTGTGTGCGGTGTTTAAATCCGCTGGATAAAATGTCTCTCTTTTTTCGGACTACATTTTTAGCTTCCTCCTGGAGCACAGCTACGGAACTGCCGTGTGTGATGCTGAGATCTTCTAATGGAGAGGTTTCCCCCTTCCTTTCTTTCCTGCTCACCTGCACACTTTGGAAACTGCCCCTTAGGGGTGATAAGCACTTAAAGGGATTTCTCAACCGATCAAAGATGCACCGACTGGGTAGCTTCAAACTATTCTTATAAGTTACATTGACAAACGTGGGAACTTCCCTTCGTCTTCCTTGGTTACGGTCACCACCATGGAGGAAGTCATTATTCTTGTGTTGTATACCTGACCTGCTCCCAAAAGTGTCTGTTCTGACTGAAACTACGCACTTGATATTTATGGCTATGAACAGGAGAGCGACCAGCTGAGCAGATAGCATCTTATTCCCCTCCTCTTTTCCATTATTTTTCTGCCTTTGGGTTATCTTTGCAGCTTTGGTGGAGTCATTTCGGCCAGTCATTTCTTGCGCTTTGGGATTGGGGCGCTATTTTCTGGGCTGTCATTGTGTTCCCTTCGGTTTACAGCCTTGCGGTTCGCTTCTTATCGATTAGGTTCTTTTCAATTAGTTTCATTTCGATAAGCTTCTCTTCTTATCTTCTTCTTTTCTACTTTCTTACCTTACCTTATCTTTTTTTTTTTTTTTTTTTTTTATCCCTGAAGGGGTAGTAAAACTCCACTCTGAACGACAGTCGCAGTGAAGAAAAGCAGAGGCTACATTCAGGATTGACTGCAAAAAAAAAAAAAGGCAGCGGCGGATGGAGGCCCGCAGAGAGGATACCTTCCTTGTTCTGAATCAACCGGTGGAACATCTATACATGTGCAACACGGAGTGGCCGATAAATATCTGTTTGCCCCCCTTCTCCGATCCGTTACATCGAGGAATGAGAGGCTCCACACAAAGTTTCGAATGGTGGGACGGTTCATAGGAACGGTACTTGACTCACCAAAAAGGCAAACAAAATTGACGTTCATGCATCCCCTTCTTTTTTGGCAAAAGGGAGCGCCTAAGCGTATGTAGAAAAAGAAGAAGAAAAAGAAGCGTAAAATGAAGGCTAAAATGAAGTCCTTTCTTTGAGGCTACGCACCAGGGAGAGTGCCACACCATTAAAGAACTCATCTCTCTGTGCAGGTAACACCGCGGTGAAAAGGTGAACATGCAACGTAGGAATGGCTACTCCGGGAAAACAACAATCCGTCCCCAGTAACATCACAGCTGTGGAGATGACTCCACACACGTCCGATGGGTGCATATTTCCAAATGACGTCATGCCGAGCATCACTCGTAAAGAAGAGATGACTGCACCTTCGTTCAGCTAAGTTCACTTAAGCAAACCCCTTCGTATCAAATGTGAGGGCTAACTGCAACCCGGGTCAAGGTGAAGAGAAAGGCGATGTAGCCCTCTACACACAAGCTGGCAGCGGCACCACTACAACTCTTCCTCCTAGGGAATGACAACGCAGCTGCCAGAGGGACAACATGAATTCCAAGTGGCTATCTCGGTGGAGGTACCCCCAATGGGGAAAATCATCACCTACGTTGCAATACTTTCAGCAGCCCAAATTGTTGAGAACGAAAAGGAGGATCAAATGGGTGAAGGATTCCGAAAGTCGTACTGCAGACGAAACGGACGAATACATGAATCTCAGCCAAGGCAGCAACATGTCTACTTCCATCCCAGGGGAAGGAGAAGAAAAAAAATGTGAAACAGCCATCTGGGGAAGCAACCCCCCTCATGAAGATCAACCCAGTAAGGAGAAGTACACACAAAAGGGTACCCCTCCAAATGAGCAACTCCGCAAAAGGTACCAAGGGGTGCAAAAAAAACTCTATCAAAAGTATAACCACCAGGGAGTAGGAAGCGACCCGCATAAGATAGAGACATACCAGAGGAACTACGAAGAAGTGAACGAGTTAAATATCCATAGAATGTTACTTCTAGGATTGAAAACACTAAACATAACCGAATTGAATAAAATGCAAATCAACAGCTTTCTAACCATACAGCAGGGGAAAGATGTGCTCATAAATTACCCGGACGGGTCAGGAAAAACCATAGCCTACTTGATGCCCCTCCTAAACAATATCTACTTTGTTCATGACTATTTGGAGGAGCTAATCCTTGAAAGCTATCATGGAGGAAAAAGAAAAAGCTGCGGAAACTCCGTCCGGGAGAACTTCAAATTTAACAACAACTTTGATTTGTCCCACGAAATGAGGAAGTACTTTCTCAAGTATAGTCACTACAGGAGGAATATACTGCTGGAAGATAATGCCCCTCAGGTGGGGAAGAAGATGAACCAGAAATTTCACTTGCTGCCAAATCACTTTGATGAACTGGACGAAGGATCCATGCGTGGGTCTCCTCACCTAGGTAGGATGCATCGCACGCAGAGGAAGAAAAAAAGAAATACATCCATGGGGGAGGATCCAAATTGTGCAGAAATCTTCTCACCACATGAGAAGCAAACTGGTAATGAACACAGAACCGTCAGCCTCATGAACAAACTCATAGAAGTAATCAAAATTAACCGAATCAACCTGAACAACATAAATAGTGACCGTACCAATAGGGAAGAGCTAGCCAAATTGGAAAACATCCTAATGCACAACATTAAGGTTAAGGAGAAGGAATCAAACTGGGTGGATACCCCTCCAGATAATGGCGATAATGACCACAATCGCGATAGTGACGAGTGCATATACCGCTACCTAACTAGGAACCCTCTACAAATTAATAAGCCAGTTATTATCCTAACGGTGAATAAAGACAATATAAGTCAAATTGTCCGAGTGATAAAACAACTGGACGTGCTTAACCGGATCAACATACAAACGTTGAATGACGTACCCTACGAGGACACGCATCATTCCAATATGGATGAAAGGACCAACATAGACTCGGAAAATCAGGAAATGGAAATGCTTCAGTTAGAGAAGAACTATCATCTCGAAAATATACACGTGGTAAACGTTAACCGAGTTGCCAACCCCGTGTTGTGCAAAGATGAAATCATGTGGACATGTGCAGACATAGTGATTACCACTCCGGACATCTTTCTCCACACATACCAAAATGAGCGGACCAAAAAGATCCTCCCATCCATAATCATATTCGATGAAGTAGATATGCTGTTTCAAAATAATGCTTACAGAAATACAATGATGAACATTTTTCACATTGTTAAGAGGAGACCTGAGATTTATAACCCTCATATTGATATAAGCAGTGGAGGATTGGAAGATGTCGCCACCTCCATTGAGGCTGCCTTAACCAGCGGTGAGGCGAAATCAGCTCCATTGACAAGCGATGGAGCGAAAACGGCTCCCTTTGGGCAACCCCAAGTTTTAAGTACCTTCCCAAGTGGACTTCATTCCGTTGGCAGCCACTTAGAATGCAGCCAATTTGGAGACCTGGACATGTCGCCTGTTGAGGGGGCCAAAGGGGGCAACCCCGTCGAGGATGCCCACCCCAAGGACCCCCCCCAGGGGGAAAACCCGCAAAAGGCGAAAAGGATAGAAAACGCGAAAAAGGCAGAGAAGGCGAAAAAGATAGAAAACTCGAAAAACGCGGAACACGCGCGAGAGCTGCCGCTACTCCAGATGATATACGTCAGCTCGACGCTGCCCTCTGTGGGACACACCACCGCGGGGAGCATGCTGGCAGAACGGTTCAGCAACATGGTCGAAATTGTGTGTAGGGACAACTACCAAATCCCGAGAAACGTGCGCACCCAGTGGATAGAACTAAACAGGGATAAAATTTTAAGCCACTACCTGTTTAGCGGCGTGGCCGGGGCCACACGCGAGGGGGAGGATAGCTCCGGCATCACTCCCAACGATGAGGGGAACTCCACTCAGCATAGCGGTTCTGACACTCCCCATCGGGACAGCCTGAAGGACGCCGCTCTGTCCAGAAAGATCGACAAACTGGAGAATAGCTCTTTCGAGCACAGACTGGATTTGCTAATCCACGTTTTGAAAAGGTACCACGAGTGGTCAACTAGCTCAGAAATGAACAGACATGTAGAATTTTCTGAACATGGTGAGGCGAAAAAGGATACAACTACCAACCCAGCAGGAAGGGAAGAGAAAAAAAAAAAAAACTTTGCAAGCTCAAGGAAAGGGGGGAAATTCCACCTAATTCACAACAAAGCAGTGTACAAAACGATCGTCTTCGTTAACAGCGTAAAGGATTGCATCCGGATATATTTTTTTTTAAAAAAACACAACTGGCCCGTCTTCTGCTTTCACAAAAACATATCAATGAATTCGCGGATGCAAAATCTGCACAACTTCCACCAGGCGCATGTTGCCATTTTGGTAACCACCGATTTGTTGAGTAGAGGCATAGACACCAGAAATGTGGACCACATAATTAATTTTCATTTTCCTTCCGACGCGATAACGTACCTGCACCGGCTAGGAAAAATGAACAGGAGCGGCGGTGACTTTCATAATGACCTTAATCGCCATAATAACGCGGAACGAGGGCAAATGCGGCACGGGCGCGCCCCCCTGGAGGAGGAACACATCGGTGGAGAAGCACAAACGGAGCGGTTACACCAAGGAGACACAACTTCGGAGTATATTCCAAATCATGGTCAAGACAAAGACAACATGTTTCTCCTCACAAATAAAACCTTTCTCGTGACAAACTTCTTATCATTTTCAAATCTCCCCTTGGCACAGTCCATTAGAAGTTGTGATGAACAAAATGCGAGTTTGCTTCCGCTCTTTTCAAGGAAAAAATCTTTCAAAATGAAAATTAAGAGAAAGGAAAATAATGCCCTTGGGGAGGACAACAGATACATCGACGTTGGGGCGGAGGAAGAGGATGATATCGACATGGATGGTGATTTTCCTTACGTGAAGCAGCCAGCATCGCAAAGTCGACACTCCTCCCACCAGGAAGAGGCACCATTCGAGAACCGTCACTCGACGGAGCCCTCCACATGCGAAAATGACGAGAGAAATGTCTACGTCCAGGCGCCCTTCTCCGTTTTTTCGCTGGACGATTTGGGCGAGGAGTCAGAAGAGAGTGACACAGATGAGGAAGGCGCGAATGAAGCAGGCGCAAACGAAGACTACACAGATGAAGACTACACGAGTGAACACTACACGAGTGAACACTACACGAGTGAACACTACACAGATGGAGCAACCCTACCGTGTAGCAAATTCGCCCAACGGAGAGCAGCGGCAAAAGGAAAAACTGAAACAAAACATAACCCGCATGCTCGCGATGACCACGCGGGCGAGTTCGATGCGGAGACACCCCTCTGTGAAGAAAAGAAATCCATTCGAAGATGTCACCAGTCGAGAGTGCCTACCGGCGATGCCCTCCCTCGTGATAAAATCCCATCCTGGGATGACGTCCAATTTGACAAGAAAAAATTTCTGGTGGAGAGATTCAAGAGCAGGGATTGCTACCTGATGGGGCAAGTCAAACGGGGGAAGCTCATCTTTAATAACTTCGAAAGTAATGCAGATGGAGACGATGATGAGGAGGAGTTGCTCTTTTGAGTGGAGGTGCGTCTTTCTCTGGTCCGTAGAGTGCTGCTCCGATTAAGTCGGTCCAAACTGCACACTTCTAAATTTTGCATATAAAATGGATCTGTTCCGCGATGGAGAAGCTCCCAAAGGATTAGCCACTCGGGGGCATGTTTCTCCGCCTTACAACATGGCTATCTCCTCCGTGAGGCTACCCCCCCACGGGAATCTGCTCCACGTCCAGCAACTCATTCACCATGTACACCTTGCCGTGGTTGAGGACTGTCTCGTACAGCTCATTCAGCAGCTTATCGTTCGATATGGTGCTGGAATTGCCCACGATGACGACGTGCCGCTTTGCCCTCGTAATGGCTACATTTAACCGTCGATAATCCTTCAAAAATCCGATGTTCTTAAAATAATTGGAACAGACAAGAGACAAAATGACGATCTCTTTTTCCCTCCCTTGGAACGAATCAACAGTGGCTATCTCAATGTTTTTATAATCTGAGGTGAAATTCTTTTCATCGTATAGATTATCATAAAGAATATTTTTCAGCAAATTCATCTGCTTCGAGTATGGAGTGATCACGCAAATGTGTTTGGCACTAATGTGGTCTGCATGCAGCATCCGCTCGATTAGCTTATACACCACGTAGGCCTCTCCTCTGTTGCTTCTGGATTTGTTATTCAGATTCACGATGTCGTCAATGTCGATTTGGACAGCGTCCTGCAGTGCCTTCTCCTTCTGCTCTGCCCCAGCGGCTACCTCTTCCTCCGCATGGGAACTCTCTTCCGAGCATGACTCACTTTCCGTAACGACATCGTCACCCCCTACGCCGCTGTCCTCACTTTGGCCCTCTCCTGCCAAATTGTCCTCATAGATATCAAGGCCTTTTAACCCCTCTTCTGGGGGATCTTCATTATCGGGCCGTTTTTGTCCTCTCCCCTCTCTATGGGGAAGGCCCCCCCCGGACAAAGGTGCTGGTGCCGCAGATGCCTCTGATGCCGCTTCCTTGCTGGGCTTCTTCCCGCCGAGCTTATCACCTTTCTTCTCCTTCATCTCCAGCTGTATCATGTCCAGCTCCTTGGTGTCATCGAGAAATTCATCAAACCCATCTGTCTCAACCCAAGTGATCGGGCAATAGCTGTAGCTCTGAATCATGTCCCTCGGATTTGTGCTCACCTGGGGGGTTTCATCTTCTTCCCCTTCTTCCTCCACCTCCTCTTTTTTCTTCCCCTTCTCTTTCTTCTTGCCGATTTTTTTCTGTTTTCCCTTGCCGCCTCCTTTCCGCTCACTCGTTTGGTTCGCCGCTTTCCTAGTAGGCCTTGCCCCTTCATTGGGCAGAAACAGCTCCTCCACCTTGATGGCCCTGCAGGAGTCGTGCGAAACGAGGCGATCCTCATAGAACACTTTGTTGGACCATTTCAAAATGAGGTCATTCATTCGGTACTGGATTTTAAGGAGGAAGGAAATTTTCCTTTTATATTTTTTGATAAGTCTCTCGAAAAGTGTAACATTCAATTTGTTGCCCTTCTTGTTGTGTTTCACCAAAGGAGCTAGCTGTTTGTGGTCCCCGAAAAGGAAGACATTTCTCTTCGATAGGGAGATAGGCATGTAGCACAAGGGCTCCGTGCACTGACAACACTCATCAATACAGACAGCATCGAATAAAAAATTGCTATTTTTCACATATTTATTTAATTCATAATTTGAGCTACTTGAGCAAGTGGAAAAAATGATATTGTTTTTATTCATCAATTCAGCAAAAAATATATTTTTTTTTTTCTTTCGACTTTTGTTCAGCATCCTAATTTCGTATTTCAAATTGGCTATTCCTTTTCTATCCAATGGGCACCTTTCGTGTTTTTTTTTATTCTTTAGTTTGTAAATTTCTGTCTTCATCTTTTCGATGTCTTCATCAATGTCTGCACATAACTTATACGAATCGCAACTTTTTATCTTCTCATCATAGCTATAACTCCACAAATCTTTTTTTATCTTCGATTTTAATCCAATTCGGACTACATTCTTTACATTCATGCTTACACATTTGGCCAATATGTTATCCACTGAGACATTACTTGGTCCAGTCACGAGAATTTTCTTGTCCCTTTTTACCAACTGGTATATCAGTTCGCACAGCACCGTTGTCTTACCTGTGCCTGGTGGCCCGTGGACGCAGAAAATGTCCTTCGAGTACAGGCAGAAGTACACCGCCTTCTTCTGACTATCGTTTAAGTTTTTGTTTCCCCACTCTGTCTTGTCGCATTGGTGGATGTAGTTCGATTCGATGGTCAGGTCCTCCGCGGAGGGGTAGCAAACGGGGGGCTCCCCAGATGGTGACAAGTACCCATTTTCTAGCTTCTTCCCCCCCTGCGCCCTCCTCCGGAAGATGCCCAGAACCTTCCGCAGAGACGCATCCTGGGAGGGAGCCCTCCCAAAAAAGAGGATCTTCAGTACATCGGACGGAGTCTCCAAGCTGGCCTTCATCAAATTAATGGCCTGCAATTGACGCTGCATCGAAATTTCGCTATTGATGAGGCACACATCGAAGTAGCTTTTATCACTCAACAAGTACGTGCCACTGATGTTTAGCTCCTTGCATAACTCGTCCGCATGCTTAACAATAACGTTAATCTGATTTTTCTTCACTTTATGGACGGTGCAAACATATATATTCACAACATCCTTGATTATTGAATTCTTATAGACAACGGTCTTCTCCTTGTTCAGGCAGTATCTTTTCCTCTTCCTCGAGAAATGTACAATGCTTCCCTTACTGAACATGTTGTGATTGAAATTTTCCACATTCTCCTCATCACTTAAATCATTTGACTTTGTCTGTTTCCTCCTTTTGACTAGCTTAACAATATATGCATTCTGATTGTCACTATGTTTCGTAGCCGTCTTGATGGTCAAATCGTTTAGTAGAATCCCCTTCTCGATTAGCTCCTCTTTGGTAAGATGCTCGTAGCACATTTCTAGCTCCTTCATTTCGTGTATGTTCTCCAGCTTGATGAGTTCTTCAAATTTATCCAGGACTCTTCCACGCGGTCGGCGTGACTTTCCCCGACCGAGCCCTGTCTCCTGTTTGGCTAGCGAAGCGACATGTGGTTGTTTCTCCACCGCTTGCGGCTTCTCCACCTCTTCCGGATTTCCCACCTCTTCCGGATTTCCCACCTCTTCCGGATTTCCCACCTCTTCCGGATTTCCCACCTCTTCCGGATTTCCCACCTCTTCCGGATTTCCCACCTCTTCCGGATTTCCCACCTCTTCCGGATTTCCCACCTCTTCCGGATTTCCCACCTCTTCCGGATTTCCCACCTCTTCCGGATTTCCCACCTCTTCCGGATTTCCCACCTCTTCCCGCTTCCCCATCTTTGTCCTTCCTCTCAGGGGGGCGTGCACACCTATTCACGCATGCGCGGTTGGCTCACCTTACGCTCCTAATGGCGAAAGGCGCCAGCAAAATTATCCCCTCGGCAGGGTATTCTTCCAAAAAAGAATATACGTACAGAACTTTTACGAGGATATGTCCCTATCGTCCTTGGCCCTTCCCTTGGAGGTGGCACTCCAGGACTACGAACGTCGAGGCGCTCGGAGAAATTCTCCTTGGGACAAGGCCTAGGTGAGCCTCTCCAACAAGAGGAGACTAAACAGAAACGCAAAGGAAACTCAGCGTGAAGTCAGCTGGAAGTCAGATGGAAGTCAGCATAAACTCAACCTCAACTCAGCGTGAACTCCGCGTGGACGACACCAAGCTAGGTTTCCAAAAGATGTTCTGCAAAAATAACGGTGCCTGTAAAATGCCCATATGGTAGGCGCTCAATCGCATGCACGTATGATTAATCAGTGCGGCAATTAATTCCTACCCCTCCGGTGAAGGGCACCTCGAAAAGGTGTTTGTAAGGTGCCTTTTCCCTAGTGGAGAGTCCTAAAAGAGAACCTCAAACGTCCGTAATTTGAACACCCTATTATTTTTCGTGCCTTCTTCTTTGGCCCCTTCAAATTGCAGCTTTTAAGTGTACCTCTATGTGGGGCCTAACCATGACGTGCATGGTGTGCCTTCTAAACCTCCATATTTGTAACACTACATTATTTTACATGTGGGGTAAGAGAACACCTACCCCCTTCGAATCTCACCAGGGACCAAATCCACTGTACAACAGGCGTGTACTCTCGGAGGTACCGTGCCGCTAACCCCTTCGTGTTTGTAAAAAAGAAGAAAAAAAAAAAAAACAACACAGGCGCATACACGCTGACGTTACCAGTGTGTTGGGTTCCCCTCCCCGTTGGTACCTCCCCTTTTGTGAAGAACGTTTGGCACGATATGATACCACATCGTTTTTTTGTGTGCCCCTTTTTCGACACCCTGCCCGTTTACTGCCTGTGTCTAAGGGAAGCGCCCAAATGACTCCATCCGTGTTCGTCCTTGTGCAGGCTCACCCTGCGGGGGCAGTGAAGTGTAATCCTTCTACCTGTTGTGCGCGGATTCTTTTGCGCCCGGGATGCACACGCAAAACCAGGGCATGAGCGGGGTCGCAGCGAAATCAGCCCAATTAGTGCCCTTCTCTGTGGAACGAAGTCGCACAAGTGCACATCAGACCCCGTTCACCCCCGCCGCTCTGGCGCACAAAGTATGGGGAACTCCCCAGACAGCAAGCCGATAAAGGGGCGAGAGTTCAGCACCTACCGCTACATCGGAGAACTGAATAGCCAAGGGGTACCAAACGGAAAGGGACTCATTCTACACAACTCCGGGGAAGCATTTTATGGCTTCTTCTCAAATGGAAAGAAATATGGCATAGGGATATACATAGATAAAGATTTAACAAAATATATTTGCAACTGGGTCAATGATAAAGTTGACCGGGAGTTAAAAGTCAAGCCCTTGCATGCAGAGAAGGTCTTTTCCTTTTTTTATTCCAATGGGGTTATCAAATCGTGCAGAGTTTATCGGGTTGGCCCCAAACTTGGGCGTAGTTTGGATGCAGAACCAAAAGGAGGAACTCCAAGATGGGGGGAACTCCACAGTCCAGACATAGACAATGAACCTGATCGTGCAGATGTCTATACTATCGAGGGTGGTGATAAAGGATGTGCCTCCATCTTACCAGTGAGCAAGCCGAGTTATGTTTTGCCATTTGGGAGGATCCAACAGGGCACAGCTGCAAGTCGACAAAGTGGTCATCGCGAAGATGCCATAGAAAGCTCGCGGATGGGGCAACTCCAAATCTCCATGGAAGACTCGCACGACGAAGCAAACATCCCAGTGAATGAACTAACCAAAAAAAGAAGTGACAAACAGTTAAAGGAAGGCGGTACCTGGAAGGACATATTCTGCACGTCTTCTGATTCATGTAGTCATTTTATCCGCCCCCATTTTGTAAAGTTGGGAAAGAAAAAAAAATGCTACAGAGACACACATCAGTCTGGCACCACTCGAAAGGACCTAACGATTATCACCCATACATCAACAAAAAAAGATGAAAGAAAAACAAAACATATGATTAAACGATTAAGCAAAGAGAATAGCAGTAGTCTTAAGATAGACCAATATGAATCATGGTCCAGGAAGGAAGTCGCTCAGTGGCTGTCTCTATGCAATGCCCCCATCAAATGGATCACTGCTTTTTACAGAAATAACGTCACAGGGGATAGGCTTGACAGGATAAACATAGAAATCATTAGGAACCAGCTGGGGATACTCCCATATGGACATGCAATCAAACTGCTGCAGTTAATTAAAAACTTACGAGTGATGGCTTACAATAAGAGGTTCGCCCGATGCGTCAACATACAGGAGTGCGAACATTTTCTGAGGAGAAAAAAAAAAAAAAAAAAAAAAAAAAAAAAAAAAAAAAAAAAAAAAAATACACACAAGAGATGGCCCCCGTGGGGGAAGCGACAACCGCAGCCGAAGTGGACACCACCGAAAGAAGATGCAACTGTTTCACCCTCCGCCAAATGCGACCCAACAGAGTCATCAAACCCATCAGAGCAAGCATAAGCTCACACTTGGGGAACCCCCCACCAGTAGTGCCCCCCCTGAAAAAGAGGCAGAAGCCGTGTTCACCAAAAAAATGCTCCACAATGGAAATGCAATAAACCAAGAAAAGGACCCCAACTCGTGCACCTCGACGACGTCGACCACGTCGACAACGTCTTTCAATTCCCCCCGTACTTTGAAGGAGGAGGCCTACGGGAAGAGGGAGGAACTAGGAGAAGAGGACGCAGAGGAGGAACATCATCATCAGCAGCAGAAGCGGCACCATGTGGGTGAGACGAGCGCCCCCAACGAACCCCCAGAACCGCAAACACCAAACGACACGCAGAAGGATACCAATAAGAAAAGACGGAAAGATAAAAAAAAACAAAAAGAACAATTCATTCGCAGCTTCCATAAAAATTTTTCGCTAATAAATGATTTTGGAGATACATTCAATGGGGGTAGCTCGAGGGCCTATTCCGGGGCAGAGGGAAAGAACCTTGCCGTATCCGATGCCCCAAAGGAGGTCCCGTATGGTTCCTGCTCCTTGTCATCCTTTTCTGTTACGAGTCCGTCTGCCCAATCGAGTCACCCCGATTTTTCGTCTGAAGGATCCATCGAAACCGACGCGTGTCACGTGTCAACTTGCGAAGGAGAGTCCAAAGGGGGGGATAACTGGATTATCGCGTCCTCCCGAAAGTTAGAATTTTCCTATACCTCAACTTCCTCCTCTTCCGCGTCCACTTCCCTCGACACTTCCCCCCATGCTTCCACCTCCTCCGTGTCCTCCTCTTCGTACTGCTCGAACAAGATGGATGACGCCCCCTTTTATGGCCGAAGCCAAATAATAAAATACCCCAGCAACATATACCTGAACAACAACTTGGCCTTCTCCTACCTCTACAGCTTTATAATACCACACGAAGATTTAACCTTCCTGCATCTGATTCGGAACCATTATGAGGTTAGAAGTGGAAGATGCAAGAATGTCAGGCAGGGCCAGGGGCAGATGCAGGGGCAGAATCTCCTGGCAACGAATAGCAACCCGAACAAACTTAAAAGCATGAAGGGCGATTTAAAAAACGGGAAAACTATGCAGAGTAGAACCTTTAGGGGCAAGTACTTAGGCAAGGACGTAGCCATTAAAGTGCTAGTAGGAAGAGTAAAAGATTTTTTTCAAATTCACAAAATTTTTTACAAACTACACCTATTTGGACATGGAAACATTGCTTTAATGATGGGAGTGTCCATTCGATACCCGTTCGTTTTTATCATTTATGAGTTCTTAAAGAACGGCTGTCTATTTTCCTATCTTCATTGTGCTGGTGGTTATGTGAAGGACGTGTCGGTGAGGCAGCACGGGGGTGGAGTGATAGCAGCGCAGGCAAATGCGAGCAGCATCAGCAGGGGTGGAGGCATATCCGCTCAGAGCCCCGCGGACAACAGTTCCACCTGCGATAGCTCCCCAGGGTACACCTACCCGAGTGAAAACCCTACGTTCGAATCATACAGTGGAAGAATTACCACTCGGATGAGAAACAAATATAACTCATTCAAATCGGAAAATGACCTATTCTGTGGTGTCTTCGCACAGGCGAATGGCGGTCCTACTTCGGGGAGAAGCCGCTCAATAGCTGCAAACAATCTTAACTCATCAGTGAAGAGCCCCTCCAAGGAAAGGAACATAAACCAGAGCAAAACAAAGGCACACATCGAAGAAATAAATAAAAAAAACGGAAACAAAAAGAAAAAGTTACACACCAAATTATTTTTACAAGATCAAATTGGACTGCACGAGCCGTACGCGTTTCCCCCGTTTGAGAAAGAGCTCTGTTTGTATATAAAAAGACAGAAGAAGAAAAAAAAAAAAAAAATATTATTTAGTTACCCTCAAGCGAAGCTTCATTTTAACCTGCCCCAGAGCGCCCTCAAAGCGGACAGACGACTAAGTATCCAACGGATATTGAAAATAACAACGTAATTGATTTTGTAGAGCGGTTCATATTGGTGTTCGCTTAATTGTAGCCTCATTTGGGAAACTACATTACTCTACGTCCCGCTGCATTTCCTTCCATTCTTCCCCACCTCTAACTTTTCCGCCACCACCCCCGCAGCGACGTCACCCTCGCGTGTTCCTACTTGGAAAAGCACCTGGTAAGTCGCCACGCATATCAGCGGTTAAGCGGAAAATCGGTTAAGTCGCAAATCGGTTAAGCCTCTAACCGGATGCTCTTCTGTGCCCCCCCGCGTGCAGAGTCACCACCTGAACCTCAAGCCAACGAACATCCTCCTGGACGAAGCGCTGAACGCAAAAATCACCGACTTTGGAATCTGCGAAATTGAAAAGTGCCTCGACACGAATGTCGATCACTCGTATGTTGTGCACCCCAACGGCGTAACCACATTCGATGCTGTGTTAGCAGACAGGAAAGTACAGAGGATGGAATTTTCTAGGAACGACCTCAGCGATGTTCTGCGTGTTTATGATGATGAGGATCAGCTGCACCTGTATAGTATCGAACGAATAGTTGCTTCACCGAGCAGTGCTTACCCCTCCGTTTCGTTCTGGACCCCTCCGGAGGTCAGTGAGATAAAGAAAATGAAGAGAAGTGAAAACAAAAAAGGGACATCTCCTATGACAAGTGAATGTCTCATCTGGTAGACTATGGCCATTTCACCAGTGGAAATTGCGCCCCCTCCTGCATGTACCCACATATGGACCCTCAAAAATGTGCACCATTAGAAATATGCACCCCCCAAAATATGCACCCTTTCGTAGATTTTGAGAGGCCAGAGGGGAAGGCCCTTTTACACAGATGTCTACGCGCTGGGAATTGTGCTCTGGGAAATGGTGACCCCTCAAAAAAGAAAAAAAATAAAAAAAAATAAATAAAAATAAATAAAAATAAATAAAAATTAACACCTATATCAACTTATTAACACGATCGATTGCACTATTTTAAAAATATCTTTTACCCCCCCCTTTTAGTTAACCCACAGTGTCCCTTTTAACTACCCATTCAAGTCCCACCTGGTGGTATACATCACTTGATCGGATGGCTCATCAAAGGAGTGTATCGAGAGGGCCACGCGTTTTCCTGTCCATTAATTTGCCTGCCACTTCTGCCCGTACATCCTTCCTCGTGTAGGCCTCCGTCGGATATGCGAAAGAAGAACTCACCTACGATAACATCCCAGAGCCTATTCAAGTAAAAGAGAGAGAATACAAACAAAAAAGAAGGCGTTCTATTGGGTTATTTGGAATAATGGAAGAGGAGAACAAAGCAGCCATGTTTCTTTTTTCTTTTTTTTCTTTTTAGGGGCTGATAAAATCCTGTGTCCACAGAAACATGTACAGAAGACCCACCTTTGGACACATCCTAGCGGAGCTATCCCGGCTATATGAAAAAGTAAAGCACTTCGCTCAGCGCCGAGGGTCGCGCTTCCTCCCCTGTACCACTTGACCGTACTCCAGATGGCAACATACCAACATTGTCCTGTTCTCCCACCCCTTTGCACACGCGCAGGCAAATACAAAAGCTGAGGATGCTCTCATGTCCTTCATGGATGGAGCATAATGTAGACCGACTTCTAAACAGAATAAATCGAATATTAAAACAAGATTGGGTAATAAACTGAAGCATTTTGAGAGGGGAAAAGGGTTCCCTTTTTTTTTTTTTTTTCGTGCGACATCCCCTTGTTGGGCCTGTTAATTAAAGCGATATTTACCTGTCCCAATTTTCCAAAAAGAAAAAATATTTTTTTATTTTATTTTTTCTCTCTTTCAACTCTTTTGACGTGTAAGTACATCCCGCAATGCATACGCGTAAATGTCTCTGCACACTTTTTTGTAAAAGGGGGGCGGAGGGAAAAAGATGGTCCTACCGCCAACTGTCACTTTTGTCCCCCTTACTTTACCACATTGAACATTTTTAACCTGCGTCATGTGCCCAACCAGAGAACCTCCTCTTTTTTGTCATACCGATCTTTCCACACGAATGCGCAGCGATGGTCAAAAGAACGGACCATAAAAAGAAAGACGTGTTCGCTTTTTCCTCCTCCCCCTCTCCTTGTGTGTTTACCCCTCCTGCGCTAAACAATGGCCGAATCGTACGAAAATGACGAGGACGTCCTCCAAATGATACAGCAAATAAAAAAAATAACAAAGGACAGCAAACGCAAGTTCGAAAATGAAATCGACTACCTGGTGGAGAACACCAAATCCAATCTGCTCACTCATGTGGACGATGAAAAAAATACTATTAAAAAGGAAGCGGAGGAGAAGCTAAACAACTATCGAGAAAATCTCATAAAGTATGAGAAGGGCATAAATGAGAAGAGGCGCCACTACCTCAAGCTAAAGTCCGAGCTGGCCACGGTGGTGAACAACTACAAGAAGCGGATGAAGGTGAGCTGCGACAGCACGTGTGTGGAGGAGTTTATATTCGGGCGTCGACCCCTATGCCTTCATGCATGTGTGTGGAGAAGTTTATATTCGAGCGTGGACCCCTATGCCTACCTGCATGTGTGCTTCCTTTCCCCGCAGGACTTCAACGTGGAAACGGATAACTTCAAGCAAACGTACGAGAAGGAGAAGAAGGAGTTGGAGGATCTGGAGGACAGAGAGTGGTCCGAATTGAACACTCACTGTGTCGAGCTTTTAAGCAAAACCAAATCAAACATGTGTGCCACAAAAAATGAAACGAATAAAAAGCTTAGAAAGGTTCTTAATTCGATCATGTAACGGTGCCTGGGCTCCGTCCTCCCACTGGGACTTCATTGCAGTATATTGCATCGGATTGCACTACCTTAGTTTTTGTTTTAACTCTTTTTTCCTTCCCCATGTTGGCCGTAAAACGTCTCTCATCCAATTTACCCCAGGGAATTTTCCCAAAAAAAAAATACGTTCTTTAGTCTACCTTCTTTAGTCTGCCTTTTTTTTTTTCTTCTCTCTCTCTCTCCAAAACGTTCATTTATTATTATACAAAATTAGAATTAAGTAAGATCCCCTCACCCCCAAGGGTTGTCCCTCACCTCGGTGACTTCTTCTTCTTGTTTATCTTTTCTGTCAAATAGGGGGTGCTCCCCTTATGCCACTTGAAAAGGAAAATTTTTAGAAACACAGAAATGTAACAACTCTGAACGGTTTAACTCAACATTGCTGGAAACACAAAAGGGAAAGGGGGGCTCGCTGGTGATAATATATAATGGTCCGTATAGGTTCTACTTCCATGCGTGCTTATGAACAGATGTACATGTGCGTAGATACGCTCGCCATACAGCTACAGAATCGCCTGCCCACGTAATTACCCTTTTTTTTCTTTTTTCTGACAACCTATTTTTTGAACGCGCATGACAACCTTTTTTTTTGAAAGCGCAAAATGTATGCTTGAAAAACGGTTCACTTTGAAACGAGAGCTAGCTATATGGCCCTTCTTTGAGTGACTCCATCAGTAGTAGCTAACAGAAAGTGTTCCGTGCATGTTGTGTTTAATTGGATTTACTTGGGATTTATTTCATTTCGGCTTCTCCTTCTTCGCCTTTTTTTTTTTCTGTTTGTTTGTTTAAGGACTAAATCGTACACAGCTGTGGCGCACAACCGTAGAGTCACCAAAAGAGGAGCAGGTGCTTTCGTTTCGTCAGGCGCACGTGTATTTGGCTGCATATAACCGCGTTAGGGGATACCTCGAAAAAAAGAGGCTTCACAATTTTTACCTTTTTCTTTTTCTTTTTTTTTTTTTGATGTGGAAATCTGAACTGAATACGCGTCCGCCACCCTCCATGGAGAGATATGCGCACGCATTTTACACGTAACGTATTGCTCTGAGTATATCTGCCTTCTTATGTTTGCCGCTTTTATTTAATAATGAATTGAGGGAACATAAAGAACAGCCCCTCTGTTATGGATCCACAGCTCCACGTCTATCGTTGCTCAATTTGTGTAGATGAATTAGGCACCCCTGCTTCGCCAAGTAGCTATCAGCATCGATAAGCACCTCTTTAAAATTGGTCCTTGTTTGTTCATTATAGTATATGCCCCTATGCATGTATCCGCACTAAGGTGTACAATTCCCATCTCTGTGGAGCATCCAGCTGAATAGAAGTTTTTTCCTCGCACGGACCACTTTCAAGTGATGAGTTGCTTAGGGGAGCCACAGAAAAAAAATAAAGTGCGGGATTTACCCCAATAGCGTACGTCGCTTAGTGCACTCGATTATTTCGCAGAAATAGCCCAAAGTGAGTTACGGCAGAATTTCGCCTGGGGGGGACGTGCTACGCTGAGGGGGGTATCCCACTGGCCATGTACCCACACCCGAGTGCATATGCATGTGTATAAATAGACTCACCTGTCTGTTCGTAACGAACCTCCCTCGATCACCACGATTTGTATACTTTTTCTTCGTTCTGTTTCCCCCTGCAGGAGGCGGACAACCCGTCGCTCCAGCATACGCTTCTCTCCCACAAGGAGGTTTTATGTAACTTCTATTCTGCTTATCCTATTTTTTTTTTTTTTCCTTTCCCTTCCAGATCGTCTTTTCTCACGCGAAGTTAAAAGGAGTCAACTATGGTCGTAAGTACATACATCATGTGAGCTGCTCGCGCAGTGTACAAATCGTGTCATACATTTTTACATTTTGTTAATATAAATTTGACGTGTCTGTATTTTTTTTTTTTTTTTTTCGCAGTTCCCTTTAACGTTGCTGAAGTGCTCGCAAAACCAGCCGGTGGTAAGTCACCGCATCTAAAACGTTCACTACGGAAAGATGGACACTTCGTAGGGGTCCACATTTGTTTTTTTACACACCCCTCTACCCCATTTTGACTTGTTATCACCGTGTCATGGTGGAGTACACCCTCTTAATGCTGCAGATGTGCAGGTGAAAGAGTGCCCACAAACGCCGCATACATTTTCCTTTCAATGTTTTCCTACCTCTTCAGATGGTGGAGCTGAAAAATGGAGAAACGTACAGCGGCTTCCTTGTGTTTTGCGATCGTTTTATGAATTTACACATGAAAAATATAATATGCACCTCAAAGGATGGGGACAAATTTTGGAAAATCTCTGAATGTTACGTGAGGGGGAATAGCGTTAAATATATTCGAGTTCAGGACCAGGCCATCGATCAAGCCATAGAGGAAACGAACGAACGTAAGAAGGCAATCAGAAGAAGAAGAAGAAAAAAAAAAAAAATTCATACAAAATAGCTAGCTGCACTTTGGCTACTCCCCATGTGCATTCTACATTTTTTTTTTTTCCTTCCCCTTTGCAGAAAAAGCAAGAAATATAGGCAGAGGCCGAGGAGGAAGAGGTAGGGGACGCGGGCCTGGCAGGGGCACAGACAACAGGGGTGGAAGAGGAGGCCAAATGCGAGGAGGAGGAAGGGGATTCTAACACACCATCATATGTGTGTACTTCTCATCATACACACGCTCATACAGATCAAGTTATATGTGTGCGCTTACTTAGCAACACCTTTTTATGCGCATTCGTGCAAACCACTGCCTTATTTAACCTATCTTTTTGTGATTCATTTTTTTTTCAAAATTACACTGCGTGTGTAAGTGTAACCCCCCTTTTAACCCTTCGAAACTGCCTTTTAAAATTATTGTTTCTGGAATTGCTACACGTGTGAAACTATGGCACAGAGGGGCATTGTCCCAAGTGCGCCGTTAGGAGAGCATTACGTAGCGGTTACGAAATGACTTCGGAACGGTTAAGTGGAACTTACTTCTCACCTTAGCCGTAATTCCTTCCCAACTGGCCAGTCTAGTGCGAACCGCGTTAACTCCATTTGTGTTCGCAGAGGTATACCCAGTGTAAGTCAAAATGAAAAGATAGCAATTATTCGCACGTTTACACGTGGGAAGCCACAAATTAGTTGCCACCAATAAAAAGGATCGCGTTCCCATCTGAGAAGAACTGCACGGGGGGACGTAAAAACGCAGGGAAGTACCCCAAACCGTAGGTACCTCTAACGCTTCACAACATACACGGGTAAGCAAGAGTTATGCAACGGGCGGATCTGGAGAACCTGCCACAGTTCTGTGCTCAGCATTCCATCTGGTTCCTTACACGCACCGGTTATTAATACCCCCAATGAGTTAACCTTTTAGCATCTGTATGTATAGCTTAACGGGATCAACATAACCGAAAAATGTGTTACTTTAGAGGTTAAGCGAAGTCCTCGCCACACGGCAAACACATGGCCCATGGATTGACCAACAGATTGACCAACTGGTTAGCCAACTGGTTAGCCAACTGGTTAGCCAACTGGTTGACTCATTCCTCTTTTAAATCGCACAATTGTGGAAGATTGCTTAGGTGAAGTTCCTCCACAATTTTGAAAATTGAAAAGGGTACCTTTTACCACTGAGTGGATGAACATTTGAGGGGAGAGAGAGAAAAAAGGTTTGCATTTCATTCGACAAGCCCTGTTATGTCTTCCGCCATATGGGTTTCCTTTTTTTTTTTTTAAATAAAAATGACGCTATTTCTACAAAAAGGCGTACATAACATGGCGGACACAAACTGCACATAGGATGTGGCATGTTAGAAAACGTGCTCGTAGAGTGAGGATACACTAAAAAGAGAAAAACGGAGCGAGTACACTCACTAGTTCGTCGTGCAAAGTACACTGTATGCTTACCCATTCTGCCCTTTCCTCGCACTGAGCGCATTGCAATCGCACGTATCCCTCTGCGGGGGCAGACGAGGGACCACCGTGAAGGAAAAATTTGTGCAAACTCCTCGACTGAACAGCAGAGGCAATCCTTCCGCGGGAACAGTTATGCTAATTTAACTATACTATATGTGCACCACGTCATACGTACCGTACGTGCATACACGCGTATGTATAGCACAGTATAGCACACTGTGCAGCAACAGTTCTTAAAAGGAGGCGATAAGAATAAAAGGGAGCTCGCCACAGTGCACATGCATTTGCGTGTTGATGTGGAACGGGGGAGAGCACGGCATTTACTATGCTTCCCACCAAAGAGGGGGCGGGACGAAAAATAGCTTTGCTATTACGAGGAGGCGTGAATAAGCATTTGGTTTACGTTCTTTGTGTACACATACGATCTGGTACATAATATAAATATATAGCATCCAAAGGTGATGAAGAAAGGTATACATAAGCGTGGCAAAAGTGACGAAGAAGGGTATACATAAGCGTGGCAAAGGTGATGAAGAGAGGTATACATAAGCATGGCAAACGTGAGAAGAGTTACCTAAAACCGTACGCACATGCATACTGCCCTACTGCATTACCTTTCCTTCGCAGTGTATGAGGTGAATGTATATGTAACTGCGTGCTGTTTTCTTTTTTTTTATTTTTTACGTCCTCGTTTTTTTTTATTTTTTTTTTGCTTCAATCAAATTCAAATCTATAAATATCGATTCAAATCGATTCAAATCGATTCAAATCGATTCATATGAAATAAAATGAATTCAATTCAATTGATTTCAATTCTATTTTACTCATTTCAATTCTATTCTATTCATTTTTAATTCAATTCATTTTTCAATCCAATTCGCTATGCCAAATTTTCAACTTAGCATTGACTTCCCTCACTTCAAACAAATTGGCATACGTTGAGAAAAACGCCTTTTAAACAAGATGAACGAAATGCAAATCCATACCAAATTACATATGCACATGACATAAGTCACACGTACCCCCCCATTCGTATCGCATTTGCATCAACGTAAGTGAAAGAAGAGAAATATATCCCCGATTTCGGTATCAACGGAAAAAGGAAAAAAACATAGAAGGCATATATACTTCCCCACTTCGCATCAACATCCCCATAGAAGTACCCGCACGAGGTTGTCCCAGAGAAACATTTATGCTACGCACTTTTGTGAACCTCTCCTCTGCGTTTCGCTTTATGCGTAACTCGCCCGCAACAAAAAGTGTTACCCCCCCTATGAATAGCAGTCTACAGAGTAGCAGGAAAAACAACACAGTATATTATATATGGCATACGTGGTCGCATAATTTTTCAAGCAAGAAAAAAGCCAAAATATATTATTATTATTTTTATTCCTCCACCTGCTGTCACGCATAAATACGAAATGATTGATTTTTTCTTCATCGCGCCCGCAGCCCGCAATTAATTTTTAACAGATTCGTTTTAATGATTAAAATATAATTAAGGTTTTTTTTCTTTTCTTTTTTCTTCTTTTTTTCTTTCTTTTTTTTGTTTTTGTTTTTTTTTTTTTCTTTTTTTTTCATTATTTTTATTCCTCCACCTGCTGTCACGCATA